CCTCCCCTACTACACTCCCCTCCCATACTACACTTCCCTCTCCTACCACACTTCCCTCCCAACACTTCCCTCAGATGACTCACAAAAATCACAATGACATGATTGCAAACAAACCATATCAAGGTCAGGGATTGAACTTGTGGCGAGTGAGTCATAAAACTCCAGACCAGCGTGTAAGCCCAGTGGCTTATGTGCTGGCCTGGAGTTTTACGACTCGCTCGCCATAGTTCAGACCCTGCCCATGGTATGGTTTCCTCCCTCAGATCTAAGTGCACCTAGCTATATGTTCTTAAACATGCCTGTAATGACATTAATATTGAAATACATATGACTACCTAGCTTTAGAAAAGTGTTTGGAACTGGTAAAATATTTGAGCATACATTATTTTCAAAAAAAAAAAAAAAAAAGACCCGTTTTGATTTTTGCTTTGTCAGAATAAAAAGGCTATAAGAGTCTACTGAAATGTCACCCTTATAGCTTCCACGCACTTGGCTCACCCCATACAAAAGTTATATATCCCTCTGCTTAAACAAGGGTATATCTTCTTAAACAAGGATGTATCTGTTTAACAGGTATATCTTAAGCAGGGGTATATCTGTTTAAACAAGGGTTTATCCTCTTAAACAAGGGTGTATCTATGACTGGAGGGTTTATAGAATATCTTGGAATAATGTAATCCTAGTAGGCTTTTTATTGCAAAGTTTGTATGCTGTACTGTACTTAGGAATTCCAGATACAATACCTGCAGGTACAATACCTGCAGATACAATACCTGCCAATGCATTATCTGGTTTTCAGATAAACAGGACTTTACTGTATTTATTAGTGTGCAATATTCCATATTTTTTATAGTTTTCCTTTTAACACTTTTCTCTGTATTTACTAATTTAATTCTAATTCTCTAATTTCTTTATTTTAAGATAGAGTATTTTGCATTAGCTTTATTGATAGATAGTTAAGTTTGCTTCCACAGTGTTTGAGGTGTTGGTGTCACTGGTAAGCAGTAGATGGTGTGGAGAGGTAGTTAAGCAAAATGTGATTGTCATGGTGATTGCGACTGTGATTGTAACAGTGGTTGTGACGGTGATTGTGATGAGAAACAATTGGAGAGAGGAACCTCATTGAGACAATTCACCTGTTGACCAGGCAATGAACAGACTACATTACTGAGATGCTTTGTCTGTGGGACAGACAAAACATGTCAGTAAAGTTTCCCTCTATTGTTTACACTGCTCGGCACCTCTGTACCATTTGTGTCTGTGGCTGTGAGTGTGGCAGCGTGTAGACTTGTGGTATAACAAGTGTTGCCTCTAACACATCCTCTGACACATACTTCTGACAAATACCTCAGACATACTTCTGACACATACTTCTGACACATACTTCTGACACATACTTCTGACACACACCTCTGACACATACCTCAGACACATACCTCTGACACATACCTCTGACAAATACCTCTGACACATACTTCTGACATATACTTCTGACATATACTTCTGACATATACCTCTGACACATGCCTCTGACACATACTTCTGACACATACTTCTGACACATACCTCTGACACATACCTCTGACACATACCTCTGACAAATACTTCTGACAAATACCTCTGACACATACCTCTGACAAATACCTCTGACACATGCCTCTGACACATACCTCTGACAAATACCTCTGACACATGCCTCTGACACATACTTCTGACAGATACCTCTGACACATACCTCTGACAAATACCTCTGACACATACTTCTTACACATACCTCTGACACATACCTCTGACAAATGCCTCTGACACATACCTCTGACAAATACCTCTGACACATGCCTCTGACACATACTTCTGACAGATACCTTTGACACATACTTCTGACAGATACCTTTGACACATACTTCTGACACATACCTCTGACACATGCCTCAGACAAATATCTCTGACACATACTTCTGACACATACTTCTGACACATACCTCAGACACATACTTCTGACACATACCTCTGACACATACCTCTGACAGATGCCTCTGACACATACCTCTGACAGATGCCTCTGACACATACCTCTGACAAATACCTCTGACACACCTCTGACACATTCTCATCCTCCTGTGTGTGTTATTGTTCTCTACTCTTTCACTTGATTATGACTTGTCTCTTTGCCTTCCATACATTTTATACCAGGATATTGTTACCTCTACCTCCTTTGCTTTTCGTCTTTTATTTTTAATTTATTTCTGTCCCTCTTCAGTTATTGTATTTTTACAACTTCATGTTTTTTGTACTTCCTTTAACATTTTTGTATTTGTTGTCTGAGTTATGTTTACATGTTTGTATATTTTTTGTGTCAAATATTTTTTTATTACATATTTCCATACCATTTTCTATGGAGTTATTTACCTATTTGCTCGCTGCTTAGTTTATTCAGTATTTTTCAGTGTTTTTTGTTTTTGTAATTTGTTTTACTGGCTTTCGTTTCTTCTTTATACAA